AAGTGAGAAGATGGTCTCCAATAATAGTGTTTAGGAAGAGAAACTCCTACAAACCTGAAATATTGTGTTTATAGTAGTTTAGTCATTATAGTTTTTTTTAAGATTTTATTTATTTATTTGAGAGAAAATGAGATAGAGCATGAGAGAGGGTCGGGTCGGAGGGAGAAGCAGACTCCCCGCTGAGCAGGGAGCCCGATGCAGGAGTCGATCCCGGGACTCCAGGATCATGACCTGAGCCGAAGGCAGTTGCTTAACCAACTGAGCCACCCAGGCGCCCTAGTCATTATAGTTTTATAATGAAAAGCTCACTGTACTGGAAATCAGAGGAACTAGATTCTTGCTGTTTTGCCACTAACCAGCTAAGTAAGCTTGATAAAACCACTACATTTCTAGGCTCTAGTTTCTGAGAATAGCATTAAGACTTCTGGAGAAGGCATCGTAGGAAGAAGGATAAACACTTTTATTTTAATCACAGGAGAATCAATATTAGCATCAAGAACTTATTGATCATATCCCTATTTGAAAAGTACAAGGTAAGTAAAAAATTAGAAGGGACAAGACTGATTAATTCCAGTAAGTGATGAGGTAGGTGACTGAGTAGTGAGGACTGAGAAACAATACTAAAATTATAAAGAAAAGTTTTTTAAAAAACTATCAGTACGATTAAGCAAACCTACATGACTCATCATCTTTTGCATCCAGATAAACTGGGATTTCTAGGCATTTTAAGAGCTTTTGTAAATTGCTCTATCCCATCAAAGATATCCTTAAATTAAGTTAGCTTTTGGTTCAAGTCAGTTCAATTCAACCTACATTTACAAGGTACCCTCAGAGATGGTTTGCCCTGAAACTAATGGAGCTCAGGCTCCCTCCTTGGCACAGCTACTGGGAGCACCAGAGCTTCTAGGAATGCGGAGTTCTGGCTGGGAAGCAGAAACCAGGTTGTGGACAGAAAGCATTTCTATGTAACGTGTTTGGTAAATTGCCTGAGTTCACAGAAGAAAGGGACCTGATCTCCAAGGTCTTAGTCATTTGTTTGATTTCTATTTTGCATTCTAAATACTCACTTTTCCACCTAACTCTGTCCATAACATTACATTCTTTCTCTTTAAGCACCTTGCCCTCCATTCATACGTCAGTTTCAAATACCAGTATCTTCTGTGCCTACCATGTGTTATGCCTTGAACTAACAGAGATACAAAGATGAAGGAGCTCAGTTTTGGAGGAAGAATGCAGAATTAGACATGAAACAATGGTAGTCTAGTGGTAGAAACAGTGTAATGGGACACATAGAACAAAACATTCAACAATACTAATTTGTTGCTGTGTCCTTATCTTTTGAAAGATACCAAACTGCCAAAAACCTCTGAGTTGAAATTCTGAACCTCTGTGAAGTAGCCTATGGCCTGATGTTTCTTAAGGCACCACTTTTCAAAATTTTTTGACTGTGATCTGCAATGTAGCAGACGTAAGTGTTCATCAAACATACTACATGTTCCCCTACATTTCTCGGCCTCCCTTGCAGTTAATTTAGAGTCATATGCCTATTCTGGTCAATGGGTCATGAGAGGAAGTGATGGTATTATTTCTGGTTCAAGTCTCTTAACACTGATTAAGAGGCAGTGAGAGTCCTCTGTGTTCTCTCTAGAATGATTAAGCCTAGAAGCAAAGAACCAAGATGCAATAGTTGAATGATGAAAATATGCTAGATCCTTGAAGATCTGGAGGACAACTACCAAGGAGGTCAATCTAATCCACATCAGACTTTATGGTAGTGACATGTGACATATAAAATATTTTTATGTTAAGTCACTGACATGCATTTCACATCTGGACCTAGTGCATGTGCATGTGTATGAATCAAAATTTTTACATAATACTATTATAATACTTGCTGTTTCTGACATAGCTGATATTTTATTTCATTCCAGAAAATGCTTATCAGACTCACAATGTCACGACACCCTAATTAGTCTCTACCCACAATGTGAAAAATAATGTTTCTTAAAAAAAAAGTTTTTCTCTAATTTTACCTTTGTTTTTTTATTCAAGTATAATTAACACACAGTGTTATATTAGTTTCAGGTGTACAATAGAATGATTCAACAATTCCATACATTACTCAGTGCTGATCACTGATATGCGTACTCTTAATTCTCTTCACCTTTTTAACCCATCCCCTCACTCACCTCCTCTCTGGCAACCACCAGTTCTCTATGCTTAAAAGTATCTGTTTTTTTGGTCTCTTTTTTTTTCTCCATTTGTTTTGTTTCTTAAAGTGCATATGAATGAAACCATATGCTATTTTCTTTCTCTGACTTATTTCACTTAGCTGAAAAATAATGTAGTAAGCTGCTCAGAACATTGGTTTTCTATGAACAGCTTTCAGGTGTATCCAATTATTTAGAATAATAAGTTTTACAATAAATGCAACGTCACAATGATAATAAAAATGGGAAATACAGATTTCACCTTGTAAAATTAAATTATTGCATTTCTGGCTGTATCTTTCTATTTGGCACTTATATGTGAATACATACACATACATACATACGTAATAAAGGAAAAATGTTTTTCACTGTTCTGCAAAACCGGTAGTCTCTGGCACGGAAAAGTATTGCTGCTCTAAAAAGTTTGCATTCCAGTCCAAAAAGACTCCATTAAGAACGTACTCGGCTTGGTGCAGGCAAATTTTGGTAGGTCCTTGAGGACAAAATAAGCTTTATACCTCTTTTCAATAGCAGGAGAAAGAACTGAAGTCACGAAACCTTACACTTCAACGAAGGGCCATAGCGGCGGCCTGTAAAATGAAATAACAAAATCCCAAACCGGCGTAGGTTTCCTTCCCACTCACTGAAGAGACGTAGCTCACAGAAAACAGCTCACGAACTCTAGGCCGGAACCGGTAAGAAACTCTCGCGAGAGCCTCTCGACCGCCGGGAGCCTTCTGTGAGCACTAGTTCCCGCCCCCTCAGTGCGCCCACAGGCTGTCTGCTCCCCGTCTGCTACCGCGGGGCAGGCCGGAACTTTTATCCACAGGAACGGGTTTACACTGTAGAGTGTTGCCGGCCGGCGTCAAGGAGAGTAGAGTGCCATCCTCTTCCTCTCACCGTAGCCGCCGCGGAGCGGAGCCGAGCAGATCAGATCCAGGAGCGCGGTTACCGGGCGGGCTGGGTCTATGGTCGCTCCGCGGGCCGCTCCGCCGGCTGGTGCTTTTTTATCAGGGCAAGCTGTGTTCCATGGCAGGGAACTTTTGGCAGAGCTCCCATTAGTAAGTGATCTTCCGTCTTCTCGCCCGGGGCTTGTTCTTGGGAGTCGGTGAGGACGGGGCCTGCGACTCCCTTTGGCCTGGATCCCGGCCCCTGTCCCAAGCGCCGCGGGGTCTCCCGGGGGCGGCAGCGGCCGGAAGCGGAATGCACTTTTCTCTGGCGACTCCCCTCTCCCCGCCCCCTGGCACCGTTTCGGGGGTCGGGGGGAAAGATCTGTGAGCGGAGAAGGGCGGGGGCTAAGGAGGTTCGGTCTGCGAGGAAGGAAGGAGTTTAACTTCGGATTCCTGGATAAGCTAGGCCTGGAGGCGGGCTGAGGTGGGTTGGGATGGGATGGGATGGGCGCAGGTATGGGAAGTGTGGCACAGTTCCGGACTGTGAGGCCGGCTCTTCAGGACAGTTGGGGTTCGCTTTTGCCTGGGCTCGCTTCAGTTGTCGGCATTGTAGTCTTTTGTCATTGACCTTCTATCTTCAGTGGATTTAATATTATTCCGAGGAGAGAGTCCAGAGTCAGTCTTGTTTCTTCTGTCTAACCGCTTCCTGCCATTACCTTATGCCTAGATGGAGTTGTATGTTGGTTAGGAATAGGGCAGGTGCTTTCAAAATTTATCCATTTCATTAGTCTGTGCCTTATATTTTGTTTTAAGTATGTATTTTCCAGTGACTTTGCCGAGTTCTTTAACCTATTTCATGAGTTTTTGTTTTTGTTAGTGACCATGGAAGAACTAGAGTAATATTAAAAATATTTTCCCCTAAATACATTTGTTTAGGCCGAAAGGTGGGTGATGGAACTTTGACTAGGCTTTCCGCTGTACGGTTGAAAGATGAGCAGAACCTGATACTATTCTATTTTAGTGTAAATATATCTTAATGCCAAGAGAGCATTAGTAATTGTAATTTAAATTTTGATTCTGTGAAGAAGATGGATTCCTATTCATTCTGTTTTTAGTCCTTTGTAAGAGAAGAAAAACAATGGATTTGGGAAACCTATTTTCAGAAAAGCAGGCTTTCCTCTTGCTGTAAGTGATTCTGTGGAGATGAAATTCTATAGAAGCCTTACCTCTGATCATATTTTCATTTTGCACTGTTTTGCTCACTAATATTTGCTTGGGCAAAATTAAAATACAGAAAATTTAGTGGACAAGGGGTAGTATTTTAATAAAGTTTGAAAGAAGGTGAAAGAATTGACAGGTAGCTGGCTGTTGATTATCAGAAGTTAGAGCCATTTTTCAACTTAAAAAAAAAAAAGATCCTACCTGCCTTTTGGTAAATGTTCTCATTATGCTTTCACTTATTGTTGGCATCATAATATTTATCAAAGGGGGAGCAGGATCTATAATATTTGTTTTTTCACTTTTGAAATATAAAATTGTTATAATGTTAAATGTGCTTTTTTTTAAAGTGTCCTTCCCTCACAATTCAAATAGTCCTGGAGGAAGGGGCCACTGAGATCTCTTGAGAATCATGAAGTGCTTTATCCGCAAAAGGTTGCAAGTGAGAAAGACAAGGCGATCAATTCTGGAAAAACAAATCAACAAAAAGATGACAAAAACCATCGTTTTAGGTGATTTTGGTAAAAGAGGAAAATTGACATGAACTCTGTTTATCATGGCTTGAAGATGCACATTTTAACGTTTCTGAAATGAGCATGGCAATTTTTTTCTTAGTAGCACATGAAATAATGGTGAATTTTACAAACAATGTAATCTTAAATTTTATGAGATTTGCTATGTATAAGTGTTCTTGGTTTATCTTCCATACTATGTGCTGTGAGGAAAAACTTAAATATTTGTTTGTGAAATTTATCTTTTTAAGAACTTTAAGTGACTGTGAGGATGAAATTAATGATAATTCCAGAACATAGTGAATCACAGCATTTTCTAGAAAGTGGAAGTAGAGCACAACACATTCTTTGACCTTACTGCAGTAAAAGTAGAAGGACTCTACATACTAGGTGGTTGACTGAATGAATTAATGAAGCGGTAACAGAAATAAAAACGTACAAAATCAATTCTGGATATTTTATTGTATCAAAGAGGAAACTGAAAATACAATTACATAATATCAGGGAAATAAACTGAGATCAATATATATCCATACCTATGGGATGTAGCCAAAGCCACAGTTATAAACTAACATCCAGAATAACTGAGAAAAAATAAAAATAAGTCAAAATAGTCTGAGAATATTAAAAAGGAAACAGTGAAATAAATCCGGGGAGGGGGTAAAAAAAAAAGACTTAATAAAGGTGACACTGATATTAACATAGTAAAAGGAAAAATAATCAGAAATTATAAGAGCTGGTTCTTTGGAAGGAAAAATCCAAATAGACTAAACTGCTGCTAATTGAATCAAAGAAAAGAGGGATGATACAAAGATACAAAATTAGGAATGAGAAAAGTAAATAAATTCAGATGTACCTTTGGGTTATCTCCATGGTAATAAATTTGAAAGCCAAAACAAATTAAGAAGGTTACCAAAGAGCTACCCCTTAAAAAATGCCCTGGCCCACATTATTTCATGGATAAATGTTTTCCCATTTTCAAGAGGATCTGCTACTGAAATTCCAGTTCACACAGAAAGAAAGCTTTCCAGTTCTCTCTTTGAAGCTACAAGAACACTGATAAAATCTAGCAAAGGTAGCACTAAAAACAGTCTTTTGAATATTGATACAAACATAAATTATTAGCAAGTAGAGTCTAACATTACATTAGAAATATAAAAAATGATAGTGATTTTATTGTAGAAATATAGTCAGTATTAGGAAATCTGTTAATAAACAGTGAAGGCATCAAAAGACGTCTATTAAAATTCAACATCTGTTTTTGACTAAAACAAATAGGATGCTTTCTTAACATGGCAAGAACATGAAAGCATGAATAAGATATTTAATGGTGAAATATTAGGAAAATAAGGGTGCCTGTTTAACATTGTTCTGAATTGCTACTCAATACAGTTAATAGAATGAGATACTAAAAATGACAAAATTGTCAGCCTGTAGAGATAAAATTAACTCGAAAATTCAGTTAATTGAAAAGTTATTATAAATAATAAAGGTTTAATAAAGTGACCAGTTACAAAACGTAAAAATGGAAAGCTTTCTTTTAAATGAATGATGGAAAAATATAATTACAAGTACTAATGGAAAATATGAAATATACAAGAATGAACTAAAGAAATATGCAGGACCTATAGGAAGAAAATTTTTTAAATTCTGTAGTAGAACATAAAGATTTTAATAAAGGGAGTTTGAATTCTAGCATTGTAACGATAGCATTTCTCTCTGTATTGATCTCCAAATTTAATGCAATTGGGACTTGACAAGTCTTCTAAAGTTCAAGTCTTAGAATAATAATTGTAATAGAATATCGAGAAGTTTTTCTAAAGAATAGTAATTAGCAAGGGGGATATTTTCCATACCAGATTTTAATAATTTAATCTTAATGTTTTAAAATAACATGGCATAGGAATAAGAAAAATTGAAAGAAAAAAGCCTTAAGTGTATTAGAAAATATAGGTGATTTTTTTTTTTTTTAATCATTTTGTGTCAGGGAAGGCCTTCCCATTTGTGACCAGCATAAAATCAAAGTAAAATATGGGTTGGTTTTAATAAGTGATTCATATTTCGGTGTTATAAATAAGTAAATATTAAGAGATCATCTAAACTCAGGAAATGTTTGCAGTTTATTTGACAAATGATTTATTATCCATAGTACACAAATTATTGAAAAGAATCTCTTAATTGTGAAAAAGACCATCCCATTAGAAAAATTGTCATTAAAATTACAGTGTACAAAAGAAGAATTGTATTTGACCAGTAAGGCATGGAAAAATGTTTAACCTCAGAAGTAAACTAAAAAACAAAACCCCTAAAACAGTAAGATACTACTTTGCCTTTAAGTTGTAAAGTATTTAAAAGATTGGCAGTAACCCATAGGGGGTTTAAATATTTTAAAACACTCTCATGTACTGTTAATAGGAATGGAAATTGGTGTGACGAATGGAATACAAACTGACAATGTAAAACAAAGTTATCAGCAAAACCAACCAATCGCTTCTTTTTCTAGGAAATTATTTTAAATATATTATTAACCAAATATGCAAGGGTGAATTACAAAGCTATTCATTAAAGCATTATTTTTAATAGTGAAAAATTATAAGCTACATGCCTATTAATAGGAATTAACTAAGTAACAATCCATCCATAATGCTGTGAAGCAGTTTAAAGGTATGCTGAATAAACAAATTTGTTGACATAGAAAGACTTCCAGAACATAATGAGTGACAAAAGCAAGTTGCAGAATAGTTTTTTGGGTCATTTCAATTTCATATCTCTGGTTAAAAATAGTAGACTAGGCGGGTGGAGGAGGCTATTAGTGTAATAAATTCTGAAGCAGATTTTAACATGAGTGGAATTTGTGAAGTAGAGAAATTAAATACTGCAGTTACTCATGAACAACTGAGAAAAGATAATTCAAATCCTAAGGCATCATCATTTGATGCCAAATAACTATACTATTATTTTATGTATCCCTAGGGAAAAATAAATATACTGTAGATTAAAAGCTTAAGGCATCACTGATCGTAAGATCTTTCTTGATATCAGTCTTAAAACCAATGAAATAACAGTATAAGGTAGTGAGAGAGAACAAAAAAGAGACAAAATTAGAGTGGAATTTTTTTTCAGGGCATATTTACATTCATTAATGAGATAATTCTCAGTTTCAAGAAATGTGAAAAATACTATCTTCCAAGGTTACTTCTTGCACTTTGTATTTCTCGGAATGTTCATAACTTGTTCAGTCTTAGTATATTTTTTATGACTTTGTTAGTTGATTTTCTGTAACATGTCTTAACATCTTCATTCTTCTAGTTTACAATGGATTTTGGATAAACAAGATCTGTTGAAGGAACGCCAGAAGGACTTAAAGTTTCTCTCAGAAGAAGAGTATTGGAAATTACAGATATTTTTTACAAATGGTAAACTTTAAAAAAATTGACTGAAATGGTACAGTTGGTTACCACTGAATTAAAACTTTTGTATAGTAATTTGTGATAAGCTGTTTTAGCCCCTAAATATTTTTATTCATGTATTCTTTATATAACTTATATTGTTTATCTTTATAAGTGATATAAATACAGTCTTTTGTGAATCTTACATTGCAGAGACACTCAAGACAGTTTCAAAGTGTTCATTAATCTCCCTAAGCCTTTATAATGTGTTATTAAACCCAGTTTAAGATTGGCTAAAGCAAGTATTTTGAAGATAAATGGATTCTTTGGGCTGACATCCTATTGATCATTCTTATCTTACAACTTTGCTTAGATGATTTAGAGGCAAAAGATCCTTGCTGTCCCACATGGTAGCTTTGTTACATGATCTTTCTAACCTTCAGTTCACTCTCCTGCAAACCTACCTCTCTATTGTTTGGAGAATTCATTATGGACTTTTTAATAAACTTTATAAAGTGGAAGTTGTAATGAGTTTGATTACTGTCTGATATTTTCTTTTTATAGTTATTCTAAAGATAAAAAAACATTGAAAATACTTAGAAGGTAGAGGAGAATGCCTATCATTCAACCTTCTTAATATAAGAATAGTGTTTGCTATGGGACACTTTCTATTTTTATTGTTGTTAATGCATACCTATATTTTTTTTAACAGATTTGCAAATCCTAGTCCTAGCTCAGTGTGATCCAAGTAGAGCTTTATAGCATATGTAGGTTTTTCTCTTTGTTAAAAATTAATACAGTCATGATTTAATCACATGAAAGTTATTTTTCAATGTCAATATTATAAAGATACCAGAAGAACATTTAAAACTATTATTTTTCTTTTAGTTATTCAAGCATTAGGTGAACATCTTAAATTAAGACAACAAGTTATTGCCACTGCTACGGTCTATTTCAAGAGATTCTATGCCAGGTAGGACTTTTATTTTGGGATTATGTTACACCTATTTGAAACTCTTATGTAATGTTGATGAACCTTAGTATAAATGAATCATGTGTTTGCATTGAGTTATCTTGGGTTTTTTCCCAATGTTTTCTATATGAATGACATTTAACTCTGTTTTATCATATTTTAGGTATTCTCTGAAAAGTATAGATCCTGTATTAATGGCTCCTACATGTGTGTTTTTGGCATCCAAAGTAGAGGTATGAAATAGTTTTCTGTTCTTCATTGAAGTATAGTCAATGTACATTGGTTAATCTGCCCTAGTTTTCATATTACCTATATAAAAATAGTGACAGATGGGGATTTATGCAAAGTATTGAAATTCATACAAAATCAAAGATATAAATGTCTTTATACATTCATTTAACAAACACTTATGTAGCATTTACTGTATGCCAAGTGCTATTCTAAGTTCTTTTACAACTATAACTGACTCATAATATGACTTATAATCCTCATAACAAACAATGGGGTGTATGGTAGTAATATCCTCATTTCATAAAGGAGGAAACTGAGGTACATAGAGATTAAGAAACTTGCCTAAGATCATAGAGCTGGTAAGTGGCAGAGCCTGGGAGTCTGGCTACTAATTCCATGCTTTTAACTGCTTTGTTCTAGGTCCTCAAAGACATTTACTGTTTGGCACTAAGTAGTATTCCATAACTGCCACAGCTTCTCTACTATAACGTGAATTATAGTACCTCCTCTTGTGTCCCTCCTTCTCCATATGCATCCTATGCCCTACTGTCTTCCCTCCCTGCTTCCTGATAATGGCTGCCTGCCAAACCATAGGGAAAGCAAGGATTGAGTGTGGCTCTAGTCAGTTAGATTCTGATGAGGAATTGTTAGGGTAGAGAAACTAGGTGAGGGAGAGAAGAGAGATGGGAACTTGGAGCTGAGACTAAATCTCTGCTCACATTTTCCTTTTCAGTATTTTTGAGAGAGTGCAGCTAAAATCCAGACAGTAATAGGAGATATTGACTAATGTTCATGATCATATATGCAGTCTTTAAAGTTCTGAACCCTTTGTATTATGTTTCTTAGATGTCTTTAGAATCGTAATTGTATTCTTGAAAATTGAATGTAATTTAAACCCAATAGGTTTATATTCCTTTTGGTAATCAATTTTGATTTAGTTTTGTTTTAGTCATTATTTAGGATTATTTAAGACATCTTTCCTAATTATTACCTAAAGTAATGAGAGTTGACCCTATTAGAAATAATATTAAGACAGACTTTCTAGAGGTTTATGGTTTTCTGATTATAAGTGGTAGCTTAGAGGGACAGAACCAGCCCTGTTATTACTAAGTTATTTTGTGGGAAAAGGAAGTGTTTATAAAAAGCCCATATTATGGGGCGCCTGGGTGGCTCAGTCGTTAAGCGTCTGCCTTCGGCTCAGGTCATGATCCCAGGGTCCTGGGATCGAGTCCCACATCAGGCTCCCTGCTCAGCGGGAAGCCTGCTTCTCCCTCTCCCACTACCCCTGCTTGTGTTCCCTCTCTCGCTGTGTCTCTCTCTCTCTGTTAAAAAATAAAAAATCTTTAAAAATAAATAAAAAATAAAAAGCCCATATTATGGGGTGGTTTTTCCAAATATTACCATGTAATTTGATGTATCTGAAGCACAACCAGTATGGAAAATCCAGATAAAATCTTTATAAATTTTTACTCTTAAAGATGAATTTGGGGATTTTAATTTGTTTTGTTTGTTAAATATCTTTTGTTACGTGATTTACTGAGTGAAAGTTTTCACTCTAAGAATTTTGGATAAAGAATTCCTGGATTGGGATGCCTGGCTGGCTCCAGTTGATCTCAGGGTCATGAGATCGAGCCCCACATTGGGTGGAGAGGATACTTAAAAAAAAAAATTATTCCTGAAAAAAAAAATGTATCCCTTTATATTTGGTTATAGCGTTACTGTTTTTAATTGTTAACTGTGACCAGATCTTTCTGTGTTTTGTCCAGTTGTGTGGGAATTATATAGAAATGACTTTTAAGATGTCTGAGGCATTTACTTTTTAGTTTCAGTTACTATGGTTTGAGGTTTAAATATAAACATATATACACACATACATACCTTCCCCACCCCCCAACATAAGGATATAGGTTGAAGCTATTTATATAGATTAGGACTAGGTTTAGTTTCGCTTCTTTTGTTGAATAAGGAACTGATTCTTGATTTTTCTGTTTTAAAATGAAGTGAAGGTTTTAGTAATCTTATGAGGTTAATCAAATTAAATGAGACAATATATGTAAGGTGGATCACCTCATAAATTTTAGTTATTTTTACAATGGTGGCATATTAAATTCAAAGAGGAAATGGGAACTGACATTAAGAGTCTTGGGGCACCTGGGTGGCTCAGTTGGCTAAGCGTCCGACTGTTGATTTTGGCTCAGGTCATGATCTCCGAGTCAAGGGATGGAGCCCCGCATTGGGTTTCCTGCTCATCACACAGTCTGCTTAGGATTCTGTCCCTTTCCCTCTGCCACGCCCCCCACCCCCATCCCCTCTCGCTCGCTCTCTCTCTCAAAAAAAGGAAAAAAAGAGCTTGCTTTATGGTAAGGCTGAAATTATTTAAAAAAAAAAATAGTCTTATGGGGCACCTGGGTAGCTCAGTAAGTTAAGTGTCTGACTCTTGATCTCAGCTCAGGTCTTGCTCTCAGAGTTGTGAATTCAAGCCCCGTCTTGGGTTCCACACTGGGCATGGGTAGAGCCTACTTTAAAAAAAAAAAAAAGGAAGTTTTATAATATATCATTCTATCATTCTTGTTTTCCTCTTCCAAATAGAATAATAGTTTCTATGGTCTTTTAAATTCTTTTGGTGATACTGAAGTTTATCTTTAGAGATTCAACTGTTTTATTACTAAATAGCATGAAATACCTGTTCATTAGTCCAGGTTCAGTTGAATAGGAAGGATACTTAATATTTTTATTGCAGTTAAGTGTAGATTATAAAAAATCTTTTTGGAAACTAATTGGGGTGCAGAAAACTGGCACTGTTGCTTTAGGGCTTGGATTCTAATTTGGTATCTCTCGATGATGTTAAATGACAAAATTATTTAAACATTTGTCTTATTGCAGCCATTTTAAGGAAAATTAATACGTTTAGAGATTTAAATACTTCACGCTTCAAGTAGGTAGAAGATGAAAACCAGACTATAAACATGGGGGGACATAGGAATTGCTTTGCTTTGAATAGACCCAGATACCCTTAGGTTCATTGGGTTACTATGTACCTGATCTCATCTACCTTTATTTCTCTAGGAATTTGGAGTAGTCTCAAATACAAGATTGATTTCTGCTGCTACTTCTGTATGTAAGTGCAAAAAGTATATCCTGCTTTAAGGATGTAATTCTTTGAAAAAGCTCTATAGGACCTTAATGTTTTTCAGTTTATGAGACCTGTGAAATATTGGTTGGGTTTATTAAATCTCCTGTGGTCACATTTATGGATAGTGTATTTGGCTAAAAATAAAGTTAAAATACAAAAATTTTGAAAACCACTTAGAGTATTATGTCCAAGACATTACATTTAATATCAAAAATGAATAGTAACTATTGTCCAAAAACATCAACTCAGTGGCTCTTAAATAATAAGGGTAAAGAAAAAACTTATTTTCAGTTTTATTGTATTTTTTTTTGCTTCATAATGACTAGCCATTGTGTCATTCTTGTGGGTAAACTTTTTTTAGTAATTGTAGTGTATGTATTTGATAGGAATTATGTATTTTGCCTCCATATTGAAAAACAGTGCAGGAAAAGAAATGCTGACTATAGTAGTCAGCCTCAATTCTGTCTGAGCAATAGCTATATAACCTTGAGCAGATTCCTTTACTTCTTGGCTTTAGTTCTTTTTCCAAAAAGATGGGGTTTAGCTGCCTTGGAGTCATGACATTAAAGGAAATAACACTGTAGACTAGTGATTGTAAAATATTGTATACAAGGTATTAACATTATGCTATGCTCCATCTTCATAGGTTAAGCACAAAGCCAGCACCTAACAAAAGATGAAAGATAATGCAGAATTTTTTTTTTTTTTACTTATCTTGCACAGAAGAGGCAGAAGGTTTTTGTGTTTTTAGGTTTGTGAACCAGACTAATATTCATATTTTTGGGTCATTCCCTTTTCTGAGAAGAGTGTAATAACCTTATTCAGTCTTTTCCATGCCATATTTTACTCTTCTAAGAATAGCAGAGTAGTAACCAGCTTTTCCATAGAATTTAATATAGCAGATATATCGTATTGATAAGTATTGGATTGCCGTCTGGAAAATTGAGTTATTAAAAATTCAAAAACAACTGGAAGGAAATCCACCAGAATGTTAGCAGTGCTCCTCTGTTAGTAGTGGATTCTAGATGCCTTATTTTCTTATGTCATTTTTTTGTTTTCCAAATTTTTTAGAAGGTGTATATTTTTAAAAATATAAAATACTGGGGCACCTGGGTGGCTGAGTCGGTTAAACATCCATCTCTTGATTTCAGCCCAGGGTCCTGAGATGAAGGGTCTCAGGGTCCTGAGATTAAGCCCCGCATCGGGCTCTGTGCTGAATATGTAGCCTGCTTGAGATTCTCTCTTTCTCTTCTCCTGCCCCTCCCCCTGCTCACATGTGTGTGTGCTCTCTCTCTCTCAAAAAAAAAAAAGTAAAATACCTATTACTAAGGTTTATTTTTCATGCAAAGCCATAAAGGTATATTCATAACAGTATTTGGTTACCAATGAAGAAGAAATTGTTATAGTAGAATATTTTTGTTTATTTCATAAATGTTAATAGTGTATTATATAGGCTCATGCAGCTTAGGTTTCAAATTTCAGCTCCCTTGCTTTCTATGTGGCAGATGGGGCAAAATACAATCTGTGTCTCAGTTTCTCATCTTGCAGATGAGGATTAATAATATTTATGTCAAAGGGTTTTTGTGAGGATCAAATGAGTTAATATCAGTAAAGCTCTTAGAACAGTGTCTTGCTCAGTGTCTTAGTTTGCTAGGCCTGCCATACAAAGTGATAGAGACAAAGTGGTTTTAACAACAAAATTATTTTCTTACAGTCTGGAAGCTGAAGTCCAAGATTAAGGTGTCAACAAATTAGTTTCTCCTGAGGCTTCTCTTCCTGGTTTTCAGAGGACCACCTTTTTGCTGTGTCCTCACATGGTCCTTTCTCTGTTGGGTGTGTACCCTTAGTGTTTCTTCCTCTTTTAGGGACACCAGTCCTATAGAATTTGTGCCCCACCCTTATGGCCACATTTAACCATAAGTACCTCTTAATTACCTGTCTCCAAATCAGTCACATTGGGGTTTAGGTCTTCGACATTGGAATTTGGCAGGGTCAGGGCAGAGAGTGTGGCTCAGTCCATAATACTCAGTAAATTTCAGTGCCTACTCATCATCATCAATAACAGCATTGTCCTCACTGGAAACACCATATTGGATGCAGTGGTGGATACAAAGATAAATACAAGGAATTTAAGGACAAGAACATAAGACATATATATACAAATACTAATACAAAAGAAGAAATAAGTGGCATATCGGGCGCCTGGGTGGCTCAGTTGGTTAAGCGACTGCCTTCGGCTCAGGTCATGATCCTGGAGTCCCGGGATCGAGTCCCACGTCGGGCTCCCTGCTCAGCGGGGAGTCTGCTTCTCCCTCTGACCCTCTTCCCTCTTGTGCTCTCTATCTCTCATTCTCTCTCTCTCAAATAAATAAATAAAATCTTAAAAAAAAAAAAAAAGTGGCATAAGAGAATTAGAGAATGCAGTAAATGTTTTGAGTGGTAAAAGGTTATTTGTTATATGAATCCAGAAAGGCTTAAATTGAATTTGGTAAAGAAAGATAGACTTTGAACCTGGGAAATGTAGGGGAAAGATAGTCTAGGAGCATCAAACAGTTTGGTCAAAAATAGAGAAACTAATGAGTTACATTCAGTGAATGGTCAGTAAGGAAATAGCTGGAAAAAGTCCTACAGGGCCTTCAGTGAAGAATCTGTAGTTTGTTCTGTTGATGATGGTGGTACATTTGAAGGCTTTATTTCTCAACATGAGGATAATGCTAGAATTGTGTGTTAGGAAGGTGAATCTGGCAGAATAATGTAAGGTGAATTGGAGGAGAATGTGAGTTGAGGTAGACAGATTTTAAAGTTTTTCATATGCTACAACATGGATGAACCTTGGGGTGCCTGGCTGGCTCAGTCAGAGAGCATATGACTCTTGATCTCAAGGTTGTAAGTTCGATCACCACATTGGATGTAGAGATTACTTAAAAATGAGGGTCTACAAACAATGACATCGCAGTAGCAGTGAGTTTTCCTAGTGCCCAGATCTTTGTTTCTAATACCATTCTCCAATAATAAGGAACTAGGTCTCTTTGGAGAAGTGACTGGGACAGGAAATATGCAAGATAGACCTGGAGCATAGTGCCAATAAGTAAGGAAATGCTGAAAAAGAAAACAAAAAAAACCAAAAAAACAAAACACCTACCTTAATGGGGTTATGGCAAAGGGACACATAACCCAACTGAAAGAGCTCTCAATGGCCAAAGCTAGAAGAATTTGTATAACAGCAACAACAACAAAAAAGTAGTATTGGATTATAACCCAAAGTATAAAAAAATATCCCTGAGTCCATACCGATATATATATAAATTATTGAATAAATGGGAGAGAAGAGACAAATCTCTAATACAGAAGAATTTCATATAATTTATGTAGCTAACTACACTCTCAAATAGGGAAAGCATAAATTTCCCCTTCTTAAGTATTCATTGTGATAGTGATTTCCTTCTAATGTGTATATTATGAAAAGGGAAGGGGGACATAATTTTACAGTAGAGAAACCCAACAAACACTGCCTCAGCCAGGTGATTATCAACAGTGATAAATAACTAGTAGTGTGTACCTTTCATGTGATATGATGAAATGGTGCTTTACTTCTCTCATCCTTCCTTCCAAAATCCCACAACCCCAGTCTAAACATTAAATAAACATCAGACAAATTCCAGTAGAGGGTCAAGCAACAGACTAATACTTGAAAAAAAATTTAGTACTCTTAAAAACTGTCAAAGTCATCAAAACATGGAAAGTCTGGAAAACTGTCACAGCCAAGTGGAATCTAAAGGAGACATGACAAGTAAATGTGAAGTGGTCTCCTGGATGAGAGCCTCGAACAGAGAAAGGACATTAGGAAAAAACTAAGGAGATCTGAATAAACTATGGACTTTAGTTAATAATAATGTATTTATATTGGTTCATTAATTATACCAATGTACCATACTAATACCAGATGTTAATAACAAGGGAAAATGGGTGGGGGGTTGTTTTAGTCTGTTCCAGCTGCTCTAACAAAATACCATAGACTGCGTGGCTTAAACAATAGGCATTTATTTCTCACAGTTCTGGAAGCTGGGAAGTCCAAGATCAAACAAAGTGTCTGCCTTGATCGGTTCCATGATTGGCCATCTGTTTCCTGGCAAGCACACAGCCGCCTTCTCATTGTGCTCTCATGTGACAGAGGTTGCTCTTCCTCTTATAAGAACACTGGTCTGTCCTGGGGACCCCACTCTCATGACCCCCCCAAACCTAACTAACTCCCTAAATTTGGAGGTAGCTCCAAATACCATCACACAGGGGTTGCGGCTTCAACATACGAATTTGGGGGGACACAAACATTCAGCCTATAACAGGGAGTATATGGGAACTCTTATCTTTTCCGTTGTACAAATTTAAAAATGTTCTAAAAAATAGTCTACTTTTAAAAGCAGAGGAATATAATTTGGTAGAGGTGTTATGTGTTTTTTGTTTTTAAGAGAAATTTGAGCATTTTAGTAAGTGATGGGACAGATTTATTGGAGGAGGAATGGTTAAGGGTGCAAAAAGAAGTATGAACTGTCAGTTGAGCAGATGAAAAATACACAAGTGATAGAGGTAGCAGTAGAGAGGAGGGAAGTACTTTCCTCCCAAGTTAGAAAAGGATTAGAAGATAGAAAATCAAAATGCAGAGCAATTTTATCATGGAGTAGGAGAGAGGTTAACAGTATCAGGTAAATCTCAGAGAAAGTTAGGTGTCAAGGTCTCAGAGTTAGGGGTGCATATTTGTTTTATGTACAGAGATAATGTTACCTTGTTGATAAGTTACCATTATGTAAGTACCTATTTTACTTGTACACTTTACATCTTGTTCACAAGTATTTGTAAAACTCAGAAACCTTAATATTAGTATGTTTTCAAATAAAGGAGAAAGAAAAGGAAAGCTTAAGTATAAATTTCCTAATGTCAACTTTAAATGGTTTAGGTTTCAAATCTTGGCAGATATTATCTATCTAAATTAGTTGTTAGGTTCCTCAGTTTACAAAATAAAACTTTTTGAAAATAAAGTACATAGAGTAAATGAAAAAAAAAATTAAATCTCCGTGAGGTCTTAGACTTTATACAAATGGAAGGGATCACAGAACAGATCCTCTAGAACATCACTTGATTTAATGAAATGCTGCATCATAATGACGTGAATACAATTTTCTCAGGTAGTAGTACTTAAAGGTGTACACTCATCATTTTGAAGAGAGAGAGGATTGATAGTTAACAGTTTTTTCATTTGTACTTAGTGACAAAGAAGAATGGTAACTGTATATATGTGTTTGTGTGTGGTATGAAAAAGTCTTAGAGAACTTTGCACATATATTTATGCTTTTATTAAAATACATCTTTTGATAAAGAGGTACCTATTATAGAAAGTACAGATAAGTAAAAATCCTTAAATCTCAGATGACCACTATTAACATTCTTTGGTTGTGTTATCTTTTCAATTTTCATATATATATTCAGAAATATATACATATATATTTGAATACATACACAACTTGTGTTCCTTCTAAGCTAAATTACTGAGAAATAAAACCAATATCATTCTAGAGCTGAAAAGATTTTAGAGATGAAAAAAATCCAGGTGATTTTTTTTCCCCCAACCCCTTGATTTTTTAAGCAGCAGAACCCTTTTTTAATACATTAAGTATATAATTAAAGCTCTCTAATTGTGATACAGATGGGGGCCTAGGAATTCCTGCCACTTAGTTCTTTCCCTTGCCTGAAAACAAAAAAATCTGGGTCCCTAAGCATCTCTAAGAGCTCTTACTAAAAGTGATTTAACCCTGGGGCACCTGGGTGGCTCAGTCGTTAAGCATCTGCCTTCGGCTCAGGTCATGGTCCCAGGGTCCTGGGATCCAGCCCCACATTGGGCTCCCTGCTAGGCGGGAAGCCTGCTTCTCCCTCTCCCACCTCTCCTGCTTGTGTTCCTTCTCTCTCTGTGTCTCTCTCTGTCAAATAAATAAATAAAATCTTTAAAAAAAAAAAAAAGTGATTTAGCCCTTCCTCTAATATTCTACACTGTGTTAAAGAAATTTTGGTTTAATTTACTTTTTCACTTTCTTAGTTTAAGTCATTTTTTTTGTTTTCTGCAGTAAAAACTAGATTTTCATATGCCTTTCCAAAGGAATTTCCTTATAGGATGAACCATGTAAGTATGTTGTATAAAATAAGACTACTTGTCAAAGCTGTATATAAACTAGCTCCATTTTATGTTAGAATAAACTGAATAGTTTCCTAGAAATGGTACTTTCAAATACTGAATACAAGAATATAAACTTTAATTCTAAATTAAAGCTAAATTGCTTCTACCTTTAAAAAAAAAAGTACTTAATAGCAATGGTTATCAACCCTGGGTGCCCATTAAATCACTTTGGGAACTTTTTAATAATGGTGATCTCGGGGCCTCTCCAGACCAACTAAAACAGAATTTTTAGGCTTGAGGCCTAGGGACTGGTATTTTCTAAAAGCTCCCAGGTGATACTAGTGTGTAGCTAGGGCTGGGAACTACTGTAATGGAACAGTATGAAAACCATATTTGAAACTTTACATTAATTTAGAAGGTGAGTTTCTATTAACATTTTTAATAGGCATGTCCTTTTTCTACCTTGTGAGGGATTTCATCATCCTGTATAATTTTCAGTATTCTTTCCTTTTATTGATTTGTAATATAATAAAAGTAACACATAAGTGGAGATAATTGCATTTTTGCATTTGTTGAGTGGAAAGTATATTAGAAAATCTGAAGTTTACACAGGATATTTTAAATTAAAAAAAGTAAGAATTATTATATGAGGCTAACTTTTCTATAAGGATTAAAATCCTTTATAGCCATAATTACATGTGTTGTATAATAGTAAAAATTAATTTTTATTGCACATGTTCATTCTGATAAACTACTGTATATTTTGATTCAAAAAAATTTTAGTAAAAATTTGTGATACATTACTATAATGTATAAATTGTTATGTTAGACTAAGTAGACTCATCTAATTTGTTTCACATTGACATTTATAATCTTTTTTTTAAAACAGATATTAGAATGTGAATTCTATCTTTTAGAACTAATGGTAAGTATATTACTTCCTTGTGATTAATAGAGTAAAACTTTCAAATTTAGTGAAGTCAGAAATTCTTTAAAGAGATGATTTATAGGGAGGTGCATTTTAAAACCATCCAAATGATACATGATGGTGAAATCAGAGTACCTAGTAGCATCATCATCACCTATATCCTCTGAGAAGCCTGTAAAATAATTTGTATATCCCACTTAGGATGGGAAAATTTTTCTGTTCTATAGTAACTATAATAAAAGGATTACAAGCAAACCAGTCAGGACATGAAGCCACTGTAAATTATTTGCACAATTTGTGTATGTGTGTGGTGTTATTTAAAGATAGATTATGTCTTTGGCAGAATTCTGCTCCTCCAGTTGGGAATTACGGATTTATAGGCTAATAAGAGGTTTCAGTGTGTTGCAGATGTGACACTTTGAGTCTCTAAGGGAATGGATGCTGACTGACTGCCTACCGATTTACCAAGGTATATTCCAGAGAGAGCACTGCCTTCACTATTATAGTAGAGTTTAGGGCTGCCATACTGCTTGCTTAAGAGAATAAAAGGGAAGCAAGCATGAGTTAGAGAAATACATTTTGAAATACGCAATTACAAATCAGTTGGGTAATGATAAGTTTTTGTGTTGTAATAAATCTGTTTTTATACATACACATTTTTTAAACTGTTTCTAGGATTGTTGCTTGATAGTGTATCATCCTTATAGACCTTTGCTCCAGTATGTGCAGGACATGGGCCAAGAAGACATGTTGCTTCCCCTTGCATGGTAATTAGAACAGAAGTTATTCATAGTGTAACATGTTATTAGCTAGGAAGGTTGACAACTGAATATGAAGTTTAATATTTTTAAAGTAATTAAACTAGTGCCTCAAGACATTGTATGTTGAGTGAAATATCTGCTTGTTGAATTTTAATTAACTATATTTATAAATGCTAAATTGATAAGGATCTTTATTTGATTAATATTTCCATTAAAATTTGATTCTTACAAAAAAAAGATTACATAAAAATTAAAACATTGTCTTTCAAATAGAGTACTTTTTATTGGTATTCAACATACATATTAATTTATTGTATAATTTCTGGTTTCTTCTGATTTTCTAATTTGAAAAATTGGAAAAATCCTTATTGTAATTTACTGTAAGGTTTTAAGTTTTAAAATCTATTTAGCTGTAATTTTATCCATTAAAATATGCTTATTCATTGTCATTTTCATGTATCCATCTTTTTCCCTTGATGTTTTCACCTTTATATCTGTGCTTCAGTAATACAAAAGAAATGTTTACAAAGATGGGAAATCTGACCCTCTCTGGGGGGAAATGTACAATCATACAAGGTAGTTCTGATTTTAGTAATAATATGATTTATATTTCTGTAGGAGGATAGTGAATGATACCTACAGAACGGATCTTTGCCTACTGTATCCTCCTTTCATGATAGCTTTAGGTATGTAAGCATGGTATGCCTTTACTAGTTGAATTGTTATAAGCTTACTTAGGTCATCCCCAAAGAAATTTCACCCTATTATGCTTTACATTCTTATGGTTCATGAAGTAATAGATTAATCCTTGCATGTGAATTTGTAATAATATGAAATTCAACTTTCAGAAGTCAGAGTTATTATCCCTCTCACTCCCTTCTTTTGTTAAGTTTTCATTTTTTGTTTTTTCTAAGTCATTTAAAATAATTTGACCAGTGTTTGAATAGAATGTTTTTGTTTAGGAGGAAAAGTTCAGAATTAAGCCTGCTAATATTACTTGTAAACTATATAGAATAACTGGGCCTGTTTTTTATTCCCTGAGCCCAGTTAAGTGCTCAGAGGTTCTGTAAAGGAGCCTCTGTAGTCAGTGCCTTGCTGGAGGGAGAAGTTAGCTACCATTTTATTTACCTGTGGAAGGTAGCGTAATGGGTTAGAACACAGGCTTTGGAATCAGATAGTCCTAGGTTTAAACTTTGCTTTCTTTATAATTGTGGGGAAAGTATTTAACCTTTCTGAGTTTGTTTCCTTAATTGTAAAATGTTGGGGATACTAACTCCATACAGAATTGTTGCACATATTAAATGAGATGTTTTACAGAACACCAGTAATGCCTGCCATATATTAAGCACTTATTAGTTTCTTTTCCCTTTCTTTTTCCTGTTGAGTTCCATGATTCTGTCCTCTTGATTTTCCCACTACTCTTTTACCACCCAATTTGTGGATAAAATACACAACTTCTTTTAACCTGTACATATCATTCTCTGCTCCCATTCTCACCTTTTTTTTTTTTAAGACTTGTCTTAGATATCACCTCTTTAGTGACATCCTTCCCATCCCCAAACTTCCTACATCACCTCAGTCCAGGTTTAGGATGTCTTCTCTAATTTACTCTGCGTATGCCTTTTTAATGGCATTTTCCACTGTTCTTTAATTACCTGTTACTATAATTTCAGTTCTTTCGCCTCTCATCCCTTCAGGGCCTACACCCTACTTTACAGCTTCATTTGACTTGGGTCAACCAGTATGTCAGTTCACATTTGAGTCACTGTTTGCCTAGAATGTCATCCTTCACAAAATCACTTGGGTAACTAAAACAGGGAAAATAACTCTTAAGAAGCTGGTGGGCTCAAGGCAGCCAAGCTGCTGGTAGAAATTATATTAGGCAAAATTATGATGGAGATTGTTGTCTTTGGGTTCTTTTACTGTCTTTGTTAGTTTATATTGTGTATAATGTGTATATAGTTGACCCTTGAGCAACATGGATTTGAATTGTGCAGGTCTACCTATATACAGGTTTTTTATAATACTGTAAATGTATCTTCTCTTCCTTATGCTTGTCTTAATATTTCTTCTCTAGCTTATTTTAAGAATACAGTATATAGTACATACACAAAATTTGTGTTAATCAACTATTTATCAGTCAGGCTTCCAGTCAAGAGTAGGTTATTAATAGTTAAGTTTTGGGGGAGTCAGAAGTTACCCGCAGATTTTTTTAACTGCAGAGGGGGTTGGCGCCTCTAAGACTAATGTTGTTCAGAGAGCAACTGTAATTATACTGTATATAGTGCATTATTTTTTTTTCTAAGCTCCATTTGATTATAACACTGAATTTGGTACTGGGGTGCCCAGTGTTCACCTGACTTCATCATGGGCTAAAAACTTAAAACAGAGGCAACAGACTGCTTTTAATTGAAATATCAAAATATAATTAATTGTTGAAATTTATTAGCATATTATTGGCCTGTGTGTGTGTGTGTGTGTGTGTGTGTCAAACTGACTTCTGGGTGAATTTTGACCACTCCTTTGTGCCACTGTTGAGGATCATTTCCCTGATGTAGTTTCCTCATTGGATTTTTTCCTAACATGCCCTGACTCTCAGAGCAACTGTACCATCCTTAGTATACAGTGAGGAGCAGGAGATGTCCAGAACCTTAAGATAGTCTAGTAATTTTTGTGTCTGTATTATATTAAGTTGATGGGATGGTTATTGGTAACTGTTAGATGAATCTATGTAATTTTTAAAAAGAATATTGGAAAATGCACATGAAAATTTTAAGTGAAAATCTTATCTTTAGTTCTAAGTCCCTACATTTCACACTTGAGGTTAAACATGGGCCTTTTTCTCTCATTTTCTTTCCAGCTTGTCTACATGTAGCCTGTGTTGTACAGCAGAAAGATGCCAGACAGTGGTTTGCTGAGCTTTCTGTGGATATGGAGAAGGTATTCTTTTTTTTTTTTTTTTTAAGATTTTATTTATTTATTTGAGAGAGAGCACATGAGAGGGGAGGGTCAGAGGGAGAAGCAGACTCGCTGCTGAGCAGGGAGCCTGATGTGGGACTCGATCCTGGGACTCCAGGATCACGACCTGAGCCCAAGGCAGTCGATTAAGCATCTGACTCTTGATTTTGGCTCTGGTCATGATCTGAGGGTTGTGAGATCGAGCCCCATGTTGGGCTCTGCACTGGGTGTGGAACTTGCTTAAGATTCTCTCTCTCCCTCTTGCCCTTAACTCCACTTGCACTCTGTTTCTCTCTAAAACAAAAATTTTAAAATTTAAAAAATATATTAAAAAATAAAATTCCCTTAGAATATAAATTTGAACATTTTAAAGTTAATATGATGTTTATTTAACATGAGTCTAAAATCCTGTGATGTCCACAAAGCTAAGATTTTTGGTAAAAAAAAAGATTAAGAAACATGTTTGGCGAGAAGAGGTGATGTTGACTATTTAGGTTATATTTCTCTTTTTGGGTTTAGGCTTAAACAGAATGGTAAACTTTTGGTTTGCTGAGTTGCAAAGCTGCATCTAATTTCCAGGATTATTTTAAAAGCTACCTAGAGACCACTAAATACTACTATAAACTTTTGTAACACAGCCTGCCTCCTGACAAAAGGCTTTTGCCCTTTTTTTTTTTTTTACCTTTTCTGCTGAAGTGTTGATAGTATTAGAATCAATCCAATGTGAGGTCTACTCAGATGAGAAAGAGGGCTGATTTGGAAACTGGATATGACAGATTTATAGCTGCCAGGTTTTGAACACCTTAACTCATGTGTAGAGTAGTTAACAGAGAAACAAAACAATGTCTTTCATGCACCACCTCCCATTAAATTGTTTGAAACGGTTGGTATTAGAGGAGTGTACTCTGTAGTGGCCTACTCCTTCATGATTTAGACCTCTCTTCCCAGTACCTCACTGTTCTGTTTTGGTTTAGGATATTAGCAGATAGAAGGAAACCAACTGCAGAGATGGGTAAGGATGGACAAAGTATACATGTTAAAAGATGAGAGGGTAGAAGAAGAAGCCTACAGAGCAGTGTGGTAAAAATACTGCTTTCAAGTTTATTAAGATTGTCTAATATAACCTGAATACTTAAGGACAGAGACTCTATCTTTACACTGTTTTCTGAGGATGTGTGTGATGTGTGTTCTTTATATACTAAATGTTGCTTGGTATTGCCACTGAGAACTTTTCAAATATTTACTTCTAGATTTTGGAAATAATCAGGGTTATTTTAAAACTATATGAGCAGTGGAAGAATTTTGATGAGAGAAAAGAGATGGCAACTATTCTTAGTAAGATGCCAAAACCAAAACCTCCTCCGAACAGGTACTTTGTAGATTTTAATTATTGATTTCATTTAATTATATATTTCATATACATTATCATATTTTTTCATAGATTGTGTTGTATTGTTTTCATGAAATTTCTTCCAAAACTTCATGATTTACGTAATTTTAAAATCCAACTTGGTAGATTGACAGTGTCTCATTTTAAAAAATACATTAATCTGATTATCTGTTAACTTTTCCTAATGCGATGGCAGGTCTCTTACAGGTATCCCTCAACATATGGCTATATACTGTACATAAATTTAAACAGAACAGAATTAGGCTAGTTCATCTGAAATTCAGGGATAAAGGGTTCTGTAGTATCCCATGTCAATTTGACTCTGTGTGACCTCCCCCCAACACACACACTACTGGCTTTTATCCTCTTCTACAAATTTCAGTAGCAGTTTTCAAAAACTTAGGTGATTGATCTGATATTGTAAAGATAAATAATTTTGGCTTTTGAGCGACCTGAAGATCCATGGCACATAGTAACATAATTTTGCTAACTGTGAATCACTTGTGCTAAGAGGGTTTTCTTTGGTTGTTTTTTACAGAATCTTTTCATTTAGTTCAGTGGTTCCCAGCTCTCACTGTATATCAGATCATTTAGAGTAGGAAAAAAAGTCAGAAGGAAAATAAAAAAATGCTACCCATCTTAATGATCAAGAAAATATTAAATTATATAATATTAAGATAGATTTGTAGGTCTGGTAAGTTAATGTTACCGTTTGGAAAAAATTAATACTTGACTTATACAAGGAGCTGTTTAAGGCAGTCATTCAAACAGCTACCTTTGGATGCATTTTTTGCAGAAATTCCCTGAGTGATTCTCCACTAGTGGCAGGGCCTGAAGCTGCAAGATGATGATGGACAAGATAAGGCAATAATCCTATTGCCACAGTTACTGGTATTTTCAGTTTTAGTTATTTTTATTTTAAGTATTCAGCATTTTCCAGGAAATTGCCATTTTTCTTTCTGACTTATAAAAGTTTGCTGTATTTACATGTGATTTTATTATGCATTTGGACAATAATTTTTTGGGAAGAACACTTCTTGATTTTCATATTTAGCAGGAATAAAATTTTATATGTAAGATTTAATTTTACAGGAAATTTGTGCAGAAGCTCTAATCTCTATGTTGAGTGATACCTGTAATGACAATGAAATCCCATACCCTTATTTAAATTTTCTGAGTGTATATGAACACTAACTTCCAGAATGCTTGTTATGTGTGAGAGCACCAAGTTACATAAGAATAAAAATATAAAACCAAATGTTAGTCTTCAGTATTTTAATTTTCCACATCTGTGTCTTACAATCAGGAATGCCTTTGTTTTGTAGAGTTATACCACAGAATAACTAACTTTAAAAATTAGTTGGCTTATTGGAGTATTGAAAATGAGTCTTTTAATTGGTATAAAATCTCTTTCTTCCCCGCTTGAACAGTGAAGGAGAGCAGGGTCCAAATGGAAGTCAGAACTCTAGCTACAGCCAATCTTAAAACATTCCGAAGAATTCCATAGTGGACCAGTTGGGAAATAAACCATTGGACAGATTTCAGTTATGTCTTCAATGGAACACAAATGAAAATGAATAGCTTGTTTCTGTCAAGCATATTGGGAAGTGATTTTATTTTTGCAAAATAAGTTTTCCTTACCTAATTTGATTCTAGTACATAATTGATTAAAATCTCTTGATTATAAAAGCATGGAAAGGTTCTAAGGGGACCTACAGACAGACTTACATAGACATTTCAAAATTAATAGCTTTTGATTAGTATAATTTTTCTTAATTTGGATAATAGAAATTGTAGCTTTTTATTAAGCCAGGAAACATGAAGCATAATTTGTTTAAAATTCTCTTTGGTCATTGAAGGACCAAAAAGGGACATAAAAAGTCAAATATATGAGGGGTTTTTTCCCTCCTTAAGTTAAACTTTAAAACTGTATTTAAGGAATCAAATCTTACAAAATCCTGGAAGATTTTGGTAATGATGTTGATAATTTCAGGGAAATTAATCAAGTACCTATTGATTTAAAAGTGTATTTTATTCAATAGTTTTAGTATCTTGCCATGGAAGATACTAGCCCAGCCTAGCAGAAAAGTGCAATATGTATAGCATACTTTGACATTTTAAAAGTTATATTAATTCCATAACCATTTTGAAATGCTGGGCAAACTTTAAAAAAATCCTACATGATGTTATTTGTATTTGATTCACAGTTAATCAGGCATTTTGAAAGCTAATTGGATAAAACACCATAATATGGTTAAAATTTGGTGAGATTTTAATGTTAATTTTTACTGTGAGAAGTTTTTGATATGACATACACACCCTAGTTTATTTTTGTGTCTTAGTGTGGATTTACAAATTTACTACAGGTATCCTGAGCCAGGAACACAATCAGGTTTCAGGCCAGTTTGATACTGGCTATTAATTCTCACGAGTGTAGGACTTTGGACTAAATGTTATGTCAGTGGGACTGTGCTGTCTGTGGAACTTAAAGTAATCATTTTCTTCAGATTTGAAGGAGAGTGATAAAATTTGGAGTCATAGGATATTGATGTACAATTTAAGGATTCAGTTTTTTAATAAATTGTGAACAATGGATTATTAAATTAAATGTTGACGTCCTAGTATAAAACTGCAAGAATAAAAAGTAAAGTTCTCCAGCTATATTGACTAGTGTCTTGAATTTATCTCTTTGAATCTGTCTTCTGTTTTCTGAGAGTCCTTCTTCTTTTAGATCAGTATTAAAGTCTTCTGTAGTTTGTCAAGTGGGTAATTTCAAATGGCTTATAAACACAGTCCAGAGTTCTGCTTCCTAATGGAGAGGATTAGACAAGTTGGAAAGGAAGAGTATGTGTAAAGTCAGTACCAATGATAAATATAGGTCTTGTAGGCTTATAGGGCAAGATAAGAAATGAACAAAGCTCTCCTCAGGTCTGAAAGAATTAAGGTTGGGTTTGGGTTGGAAGAGCAGACTGATTATATATCACAGTCATTGAAGGTTGGGTTTGGGTTGGAAGAGCAGACTGATTATATATCACAGTCATTGACTTGACCCTAATTTTTCGTTTATTTTAAAATTTTTATTTTGGAAAATTATGTTTCCAACCTTTTGTTATAGAAAATTTAAAACAACAGATACAAGAGTAAATAAACTAGTGTAACGAATCCCCGTGTGTCATTACCCAGTTTCAACAATGATCAGTTTATGGCCAATTTCATTTCATCTAAACTCACATCCACTTCCCATATAATATGCATATTATTTTGAAGCAAATCCAAGATACCATATTTCATCTATAATTATTTCAGTATGTATTCCTAAAGATGATGGCTCTTAACTAAAAGTTTTATACCTAAAGAATTAGTCAAAATAATGTACTATCAAATATTCATTGCCCAAATTTTCAGTTATAAATATCATGACAAGTTGTTAAATCTGGTGAGATCTAAATAAGGATAAATTATTGCAATTAATTGACAAATCTTAAATTCATGGATTCCTCCTCCATCTTATTTTTTAAATTTCCCCTTTTGACTTGATTATCTACTAAGAGTATCCCACCATACGGATCTTGCTAATTGTATCCTTGAAGTGCCATTTAACATGTTCCTTTTTCTATATTTTCTATAAATTGGTCATTGGATCTAAAGGCTTGATCAGGTTCAGATTCAAAAAAAATTTTTTTTGGAGCAGGTAGACTACTATATAAGGTGTCTTCCATCAGAGGGCATATCATAACTGGTTGTCTCTCTGATTTATCAGCCATTGATGACGTGTATTGTTTTTAAAAAAATCAAACGGGTGTAGGCTGCACTGTCCAGTGTGATAGCCACTAGCTACATGTGGCTATTGAACACTGAAAATGTGGCTAGTCAGAACTGAGATGTGCTGTAAATGTAAAAATAAGTGTTAGATTTCAATACTTAGTACAAAATGTAAAATATCTAATGTTTATAATGATTACACATTTTATTTTTTTATTTTTTTTAAGATTTTATTTATTTGACAGAGAGACAGCAAGAGAGGGAACACAAGCAGGGGGGAGTGGGAGAGGGAGAAGCAGGGAGCCCGATGCAGGGCTCGATCCCAGGACCTGGGATCATGACCTGAGCCTAAGGCAGATGCTTAACAACTGAGCCACCCAGGTGCCCCATGATTACACATTTTAAATGATGATAGGACCACATAAAACACTATTAAAGTTAATTTCACCCCTTTTTAAAATGTAAGACAATTAACGATCACCTAAATGGCTTGCATTATAATTGTTGGACTGTGCTGCTGTAAGACAAGGAAAATGTTAAGACCCCTGACCCATTCTTCCTACTGCTCATTCCTCCTCCCCAGAGCAACTTTTAGTTTTTTCTTGGTTGTTGTGTTACTTGCACATTTCCCAGTAACAACCGTATAATAACAGCATTTATTGAGCACTTAGGTGACAAGAATTTTCTCAGCTTTCTACATTATGAAGTCATTGAATTCTCAGAGCAATTATTGTAGAAAGAAGGAAACTCAGGAACAGAAAGTTAACTTACCCAGTCACAGGTCAAGTAAGTGACAAGAGCTTGGATTAGGTTCTAATTCTTAAAACCTGGGCAGCTGGGCTCTAAAGCCCATGCTCTTAATGACTTTACCTTACTGCCTCCTCTGTTTACTCTCCAGTTTTATATTTTGATTCTTTTTTCAATAGTAAAATTATCTAGTAACTTCTTACTCTGGAAGATGAAGATTTCACTTTCTCACACACCTCCCTCTATTCTGCTTCCCCACCAACCCGATTCTATACTAAGACTTCTATTCCATTGCCTTCCCAATTTAATTGTATAATTTTTGTTAAATTCATACTCAATATATATTAAGTATATATAGATAACGTTGTGTTCTGTAGTGTACTGTGGTTACATTTCCTTTGAGAATATTTCTGTCTTTCTGAAAGGGGTAATTGCCTTGGTTGTAATTTGCTCAATTTACTTTGTATCTTTTATTAATTTATCACCAGAATCATTTATTATTCATTTACTCCCGTAGTCACTCACAAGGAGACATTCTTCCCCGAGTCCTTCATCTTTTTGTTTAGGTAACTAAGATGGGGAATCCACTTAGTTTTCTTTGCCTTTGTTTTAATGGGATACATCCTCTAATTGCTTCAGAAAAGGTGCTTTTTAAGTAGCACCTTGTTCTTGTTTGAGAATGCATTGTGTTATACTACAGATAGTAATTTGGTTTTTTTGGTCGTTTTAAAATTTTGCTTCCTGCATTAACACTTTTTCCTTGAAGTCCCTTTTTTCTGTTTGGTCATAATTTTTCAACTTAGAATCTTTAATTGACTCAAGATCCTTCATATTTGAGAGGCACAGGGAGATAATTGGGAGGTCTGTGTGCATGGCTAGGACTTTACAGTGGTGGGCCTCAGTACACAACAAAACGTTTTCATTATTATTCCTCCCACCCCCAACATCATATTCTATTCTAAAGCTTTTTCTTTGCCAGTGGGTCAGTTTTTCTAGAAAGGAAGCTTTTGGCTTTATCTGTGGTGGTATGAGCTGGACTGTTCAGAGTTCTTAGAGACAAGATCAGGGGCCTAGGTATTTCATTGTTCCTTATTCAGAGTTTCATTTTATCTTCCCACCTGCAATAAGTATCTCACTTGCCATTCTTGCCCCCAGATGTTTAGCTGGAAGTTTCATGAAACTCCCTTCTTTATTAATGTTAATTGAATGCAAACAGCAACCCAAAATATCAGCTGCTTATAAACAAGTACCATATTGTATGGATCACAGAGTAACAATAACAGCATAGTACTAAATATTTGGCATACATTATCTGATGTAATCTTCAAAACGGTACTGTTATCCCCATGTGAATACACTTTAACCAGATTCTACTATTATAATACTTTTATTAAAATTTCTCTCCTTTTTTGGGGGCGCCTGGGTGGCTCAGTCAGTTAAGCATCTGCCTTCGGCCCAGGTCATGATTTCAGGGCTCTGAGGTGGAGGCCCCCCCGCATCGGGCTCCCTGATCCGCGGAGAGTCTGCTTTGCTCACTCTCTAATAAATAAAATCTTTTTTTTAAAAAAAGTTTCTCTCCTTTCTATCCTTGCTCCTGCAGACACCTGTGGCACTGAAAAGGTGACTTTTTCTGTTAATAAATCGCTGCCCTTTTAGACACTGAAAAATAACTATCACTGAATGGTGGGAGAAGCATTCAGTTTTCCGTTTGTCAATAATACCAATTTCTCACAGGTTAGCTACTGATCCTGCCTCTATCCAGGATTTCCACGGCAGATACATACTAGATAGCAAAAGGATGCATTATCGCAGAGTGCAAGAGACCTCACTGGGATCGTAAGGCAAGTAAGAAAGAGGGAATGTAAATGAAGGAAACCTGAGACACTTTAATTCAGGACTCTGAGCTGATATGTCCACTGTTGCCACTTTTTCTAGGACAGCTTCCTTCTATCCCATTAGGAGAACTATGAACAGTACATACAGTATTTTAAAATGTAATCTGGCTATTCTACATTTCTAAAACTTTTGATCTACCGTGGCATTAGCAGAGTAAAACTGGTATTCTCGCATGACTGAAATAAAACAGCCACTTTTTAAATGATGTATTAAATCATATGCTATATATATTTTGAGGCATCCGATACCATAGAAGTTAGTAATGATTTTACTCTTAAGACTTTTAGTGTACAGTTTGGTGCAACTTCAGATATATTTGTTAAATTTTTATTTCAGAATAACTGACAATGAAGCTTGTCTTTATAAATTTGAATATAGAAAACAAATTATTCTAACATATGAACCCTTTGCTTCTTCAAAAATATACAAGTGGTAAACACTTGTATATTTGGGTAAACAGGATACATTGTTATAAGTTTTCTTTAAAAAAGTACCCGGAATCCAAGGTATTATAATTGTAAAATCTGGTTTAATTTCCTCCAAGTTGAAGATACTAAGTTCCTATCCCATAATGAGTACCTTGGGTTTTTCATTTTTATTAAAACTCATCAGCTGTGTCTGTTTAGCCCATCCACCATCTACTGGGTTTTTAATTTCAGTTATTGTATCTCTATTTGATACTTTTTTGTAGTTTTCATTACTTTAAAAATTTTTGTCATTTAAGTTATTGAATATATAAATCAGTTATTTTAAAGTCTGAAAATTCCAACATGTAGATTATCTGTAGATTTGTTTCTATTGTCTTTTTTTCTTCTTTTTCTAGTTTTTTTTCTTTTTCAATCATGAGGTTGAATCATTTACTGCTGTTTCTAATAAATTTTATAGAATTCTGAACATTGAATATGATGAACTGTAGGGAATGTTTGTGGCTCTGGCTCAGGGGTCTAAACTGTGCCCCATGGGCCAAATCTTAACTTGCCATCTAGTTTTGCCTGGCCTTTGAGCTAAGAAGGTTTGCCATATTTTTAAATGGTTGAAAAATAATTAAAAGAATATGTGGCAACACATGAAATATAAAATTCAAACCTAAGTCCCCGTAGTTGTTCGGTTGGGATCCAGCCACTCTTTCATTTATGTACTGTCTATGGTTGCTTTGTGCTACAGTAGCAGAGTGGAGCAGTTGCAACAGAGACCTTATGGCCTACAAACCTAAAATATTTATTGTTGCCAACCCCTGGCTCTAGATAATGACA